CACGATGTCTTCATGGAAACTTAAGTATTTACACAGATACACTTGTTGTGTGATCATTCAAGCATGCAATCACATTTGAATGACCATGTGACAACACGTCCTCCAGTACTGCCGTTATGGTGTTTTTCTTCTGTCGTTGTTGTGGTATAACATTGCATAATTATTTAACTTAAATTAACACCATGTTTAAAATACCTTTTTCTATTGTATATTCACTGTCTCCTGGATCCATTACTCATTAATCCATTAGTTACAGTACTTGAATTATTACTATTTTGTATGCATATTTAAAGTTCTTTTTGTACAATTATTTGTTTTTTATGTTCTTTATTTCAGAATATGGATAAAGTTGAGTGATCTTCAACCATGAATACACCACCACCCACATTGCTGCAGGTAAGGAAATGGTTTTCAATTCGTAAACTCTACCTGTCACTCATTGTTGATGATTTTTGAACCCCGCTTCCCATACTTTTTTTTCTGGGACCCAATTTGTTATTTCCCAGACAAGTCGCGACCCATGTAGTATTAAATGTCATAGTAAATTGCACATCTACCTTTATAAATCCCAAAAATGTGATGCTTTATGTTTTAAAAAAGGGCAACTTGACATTAGTGTTACAGCAATTTTTGTTTACTAATGATTGTCCTTTTGAAAAAAACCATGGTGGATACAAGAATTTGTAATGGAGGGGCCCAAAGAGAAATTGTCTCAGATAGCGGGTCCATTAAGCTCAGCCCCACTATGGTTGGGGCTGAAGTAAGAAATTTTTTGATTAGGCACCCATAGGTGGCGGGAAATAGCACTCTCGGATTGAATTTGAATAAAATTTCTTTTTTTTTTTAATTGGAGGGTGGGTAGGGGGAGGAAGGGAGAGCCTTGAACCCGCCACTGGAAAATGAGACTACTTTAAATATTTTTAAACGAAAATATAATCGACTTTTTTGCAGAAAATATTTTAAACCATTGAATTATATATTTGATAAAACTTACCAGTGGCTTATCCAGGATTTAAGGATGGGAAGGGGAGTGTGATAAAATAAAGTCCAAACCACGTCAGCGACACCTTGGTTGGCGGTGACATGAGAGAACATTTTCAGTAGTTTGTGCCTGTGGATGCCCGAATTGCAACTTAATTTACCTTTTAATTCTTTTTATTTTTGACAAGATGAGTAAAACAAAAAACGAATTAATTAAACGGGTGCCCGAAAAAAATCTACCATCCACCTGAGCCCCCAACCCCACATGGTTGGAAAATTTTAAGAATTTGAGATTTAAAAGATGCCAGAAAATGGCATTTGGATAAAAGTTATGAAAACTACCATCCACATCAGCATACCATGTTGAGACTGAGGTAAAACAATTGTAAGAATTTTAGATGTCAGAAAGTAGCATTTTAATATAAAAAATCTAGGAAAATTACTATATTCACCTGAGTCCCACTATGCATGAGGCTGAGGTGAGAGAAAATATTAAGAATTGGGGACTTTATTACTTAAAATTTATGTCAGTTATTTTTGAACATTTAAAAAGAGCCACTTTTCATTTTTTTTAACCTCTGAAAGTGGGTGGGGGTTACTCAAGCACCCTGAACATCCCCTGGATATGCCACTGGTATTCATTTGGATAATGTTATTTTTAGGTCATCTTACAATAATTTTCTGTTTTATGTTTATTTCAATAAATTGTTTTTAAACAGTTGAAAGCTCGGATTTACACAATTATGTAAACGGCAACAGAAAAATAATTCATGAATTTCAGAATATTCATTGTGGGCATATAATAAAATATTGTTATAATGAGGATTCACCTAAACATGCTGGTACAGTAAAACCCTATTAAGGAGACACTTAACCAAAAAAAGTGTCCCCTTAATAGGGGTGTCTCCAGAATAGGGGTACCACTAACCAAATATGAGAAATTGTTCCCTAATAGGGGTTTTTGGCATGTTTTTATACGATGACATAAATTCTGTATAATTTTATTTATATATAATTATAACTAATTTATAGCAAGAATTTACAATGCAAATACAATTATAACGTGAAATCAGCACAAATTTAATTAAAACAACAATAGTTTATGTTGTAGAAGCAGCTGGTTCAGCAACCGTGAGGTCAGGGTTTCAGTCCCTCGCTGTACTGTACATTTCGCTTGTGTCCTTGAGCAAGGCACTTCATCTGCATTGCTTCTCCTGTAATTACCTGTCTTGTTGGGCCCGTAGGTAGACCATGCACACCTGTAAGGTACTGTACATGTTATGCCCTCCCAATTGCATCAAATCATCACTGCATGGGTTTTCTCCACCCAAGAGTATAGGGGTACCTGGTGGGGTTGCCTACTCCTGAAAAGCAGCAACACTTAAAACGTGAGGACCCAGTGACCAGGGAAAAAGAAGCGCATTTTGTTATGTGTCCCCTTAATAGAGGTGTCCCCTGAATATTGGTTGGCCGTAGTGTTTATAGACATAAAGTACTTTCCTTCATTTTCTGGCTATTAAAAGTGTCCCCTTAATAGGGGTGTCCCCAAGGAGGGGTTCTACCAGTACCATCAGTAAAGTACTGTACCTACTGGTATTTTTAAAACAAAGTTCTTAAAAACATGAAAAAAACAGTCAATTTTGTGGTAATTTTTGAGAGTTAAATCTAATAATAATAATAATAATATAGAAAGTTATATAGTGCCTTTAGCCAAAGCACTTAAAAAAATGTTTATTGTTAAAAAAAGGATTATTTAGGAAATAAGTATGCTTTTAAGAGTTTTTAAAGACTTCAATACTACAAAGCATTTTGGATGGAAACTATATTCATCGTCATAACTCTAAATTCAGATTAAATACATTTTATTATAATTAATGATAGTAAAGGTTATCATTTTAATGAGTGGTTTGTATTAAGATGGTACTACTTGTATTTTGATATAAATGCCAGATATAAAATTTTGAAAAACCTTAAAAAGTATTAAAAACTTTGACTAGCAGATTCAAAATAATAAAGTAAGTTGTTACAATTAAATTAATTTTTTTTGTTTTTATTCTTGTACTACAGTGAAGTATGCATGTTACACCTATGCGCTCTCATGTAGCAGAGCCCCCGACCTTTATAGTCCAGGTCAAAAATAATCACTTTCACCATGGTATAAGCTCCTACCTCAATGAAATTGATATCCATCCTGTAAGTGGCAGGTTCATACTCACTGTTGGTGTGGAATTGGAATAAAATAAAATAAAATTCAAACTGTAGGTCCCTTTATATTGTTTGCGTGAAACAAAAAATAGGATTTAACCTAAAGAAAGCAACTTTTATAACCAGTTTTTTTTTCGATGTTTACCTCGAGAAGTGAGGTCACGAGGCTAGAATAACGATACGCCATTTCAGTGTCTGCAAAATTTATTATCTAATTGATATGTTTGCTAATAATTAACAGTTATCACAATGCATTTTGATACATTATACATTGCTTAATATGACTATATATTTTTAATCACACAAATCTCTGAAATAACTAAAGAAAAACAATTATAGCGGGCGTACTTCTACCGCGCTGCGCAGCGCTGCACTGGGTAATAAAAAGAACATACAACCGTTAGTGGGCGTCCTACACAGGCGTGACGCTTCCGGCAAGTTCGGAGTTAGGTAGTCTCAAAATTCGACTGACAGGTACTTGATAGTGCTAGGTTCTCCGCATTTATGGCTTAGGGGTCGCGGTGCTTTCCTCCCTCCGTTCAGTTGTTTCAAATTGGGACCGAGTTAGTGAACCCTATAGTTAATGGTCTTGCTTGGTGCATAACCTTGC